GACGCGTAAGCTCCGCAGATCAAAGCGAAATTTGATAAAAGATGGAGATATAGAGTGAAAATAAAAGAATTTGTACAGCCTTTGGTGGTCACAAGGAAGTGGAGGAGACCAGAAGTTATGCCGTCGACATCTGTAGGGTAAAAGCAGTTGAGTTTAGCGTACGAGTCCAAAATTTGAGCCCCTATAAGGCATCCAGGGGTCTCAGTGATGCTGGGAAATTATTCCAAAAGACTTTTCCTCCAGAGGCATGATTGCTTCAGTGGACAATGGAATTTTGTGGGCTGCCAAAGTATGAGCGAAGATCAAGATGGCTTTCGGTTTAAAAGAATACGCAATTAAATGCAATATTTTGGCGTAAAAACGTTTATTCCAATCGCAGAGGTTTAGGAGCCAAAAGCATTGTGCAGCTAATGAGTGCCATTTCTTAGTGTATCTGGTGGGATACGCTTAGTTCCGGAATAATTTCGAGGCAGGTCACACAAAGTCCTATGGATTACGCTTGACACACGGTTATTCACTTTTCGCAAGGGGAAAGGCTGGCGATGACTGCAATACTTTTGCGGACTAATTGACGAAAGTAACTCGACGCTTACAAGCTGCTCATTGTAAGCAGAATCTGGTTTTAACAATCAGGTAGCTTTGTTTCCATTCTGCTCAATTTTCTGCTCCAAGTTTGAGTTGCAGCTGGAACGGATGTCCTCAAGTGATTGTGACAGTGCACCATCAACGCTATCAGCATTTAGAGCACAACAGTCACACAAAATGTTTGCTAGGAAATTCGGACAAGTCATGTAGGTGACATAAAAGGGATAGCACCAAGGCCTTCAAAGCACACTGTGCCAGATCTAAGACCTGTAAAACTCCAGAAAGACATGTCCTTTTGTTAGTTTCATCATCAAGAGGTGAAACTTTCCAATGATATTGGGTGCAATATACCAGATTAGGCAAGCCCCGCAGGTGAACTACAATTGCGAAAGATTGTGCAGCCTAACAAGCAGGAGGGAAAAGTAGTAACATGGAGTGTTCTGGAGAACAGGTCACAGTCACCAAAATAAATCCGAAAATTTTGTACAAAATTTCACAGAATAAGACAGTAAAATTGTTCAAAGGACGCGTAAGCTCCGCAGATCAAAGCGAAATTTGATAAAAGATGGAGATATAGAGTGAAAATAAAAGAATTTGTACAGCCTTTGGTGGTCACAAGGAAGTGGAGGAGACCAGAAGTTATGCCGTCGACATCTGTAGGGTAAAAAGCGCTTCAGAATTACCAATGAAACTTATCTTTCCACGGACCAGTGGGTTGATCTAGCGTGATTATGGAACCTTAAAATAAACAATATTGCAGGAACAAATGAGGTACACACAAGAGATGGGAATTTGTGGGGTACGAATTGACATGGTCTGTAGGGTTAGAACGTTTGGAAGGAGAGATGCTGACAGAAACGTGACTAACAATGCTACTTATTCTACCACACTTTCCTCAACTATTTACCTCTGAACTCAGATGGGCGTTAGGTAAAGGATAGGAACGTGTAATTTGCCCATTTCGAAGTCTAAAAGAACAGCTTTACTAGCATTGACTTCCAGGAGTATAAGCTGTGCAGATAACCTGTTTTGGAACGAGGACATAAAGCAGCGTAGTAATTAGAATCTCCCAAACCAGCAGGTTTGAATGCCCTTTGAACCGACTAGAATTTATGTTGCACTTCATTGCTGAGTAATACTTCCACCTCAGGACTACTGGACACATCTTCACTCAACAACCTAAATGGTCAAGTCGGGGAGGTAACAGGAGTCCAGGCTAAACAGAGCTCCCGTATCCAAATAGTGCTTCTCATAAGTGGTCACCAGCACGAGCATGACCCAGCTTATTCGGATAAGTTTCGACACGCGATCATGCAGTCTTGCGAAATCTGGATTAGAGGTCATTTCAGAAGAGCTTGGTAAACAATCGCTGCATCCTACCCAGTGCCGTGATAGTGCCTACATTCGCGGTATCACTGGACATTCTGTGCCTCTAGTTGGTCGGTGCACAATCCCTGTGAGGTTACCCCAAGGTACCTCTATCGATTGTAATTTCTTGGTTTCAACGTCGGGACCGTCGGTTATCAGACTCAAAGTTCTGCACTCACTGCAAACCAGTATCACCTTACCAACTTCTGTGAATGAAAATGAAATCAAACAACCGATTCCTAAATGTCCTAAGCCTACAGGTGGCATGCAAATACCCAGGAGACGAATTGTTCCACTTGGCTCACACGAGCCTGTTCGTCAAGCGTTTCA